CTAAGATTTAGATGCCAATATCGTCTCCCTTCTCCACAAAAATAGCTGCAATTTCTTCAGATTATGGGGAGGGGGTTATCCCTCCACTGCTCTATCGAATTATTACGTGCTTATGATAAAAGCCAATATTTTGTGTTCCAGTGTCTATTAACAGGACTGGGATATTGTTTGATGCACAAAGCTTGTATTTTAGGCTGCCTTATGATTCTAAGAGCAAATCTCAAAATTGCAACCCAGTAACATGATAGAAAACATTTAAGAATGCTGGGGCGGGGGGAAAAATTGGTTGGTCCTCAGAACCTGCCAAAATCATTTTCTACTTGACCCCAGAATCTGGGTGGAGTCAGGCTGATCTTCTTAGAAACAAAAAACCAATATAAGATTATATCTTCAGGAGATAGAATGTCAGCACTCAGAATTCGCGCTCTTTTCAGCACAACACCATTCTGAATAAAAGAAAGAATCTTTTCTTTTCAGAGTAATTCTACACTGAATAGGATTATATAAGTATTTTGAAAATAGCTTGTTTTTGAAAACTACTGTAAGATTATATCTTTTCTGATTTTGGACACCTTGTAATACTCGAGTTTGTTTTATGAAAATAAGAATAGGCTGTGCTCATTACTATTTAGCACTTATGTAATGTTTTAGCTTTTGCATTTGGTATTGAAAATATATGAACCTGCTGGCAGAATGGCTCAAGCAGCAGAGCACCTGCCTAGCAATTGTGAGGCCCTGAGTTCAAGTCCCAGTGCCACCAAAGAAAAAAAAAGATTGAAAATATATGAACCTGTGCCATACTTCCATCACTCCCATTTTCTTTTTCTTTTTGGTTTTTTAAGGCAGGGTCTCACTATGTATTTCAGGCTGACCTAGAACTCATGATATCCTCCTTCCTCAGCCTCCTGAGTCCTGAGATTACAGGATGCCACACCCAGTTCTGGCTTTTAAAAGTCAGATTGGTTTTTCATAGGTGTACAGTTCCACTCCGGGGTTAAAAGTATAATAGTATTTATGTCCTAAGTTTGTTGTAAATGTGAGTTTCTGTCCTACTAGTTTTAAGCTTTTGAGAATGTCATCTTTGAGTCCTTTCCATGCATTAAAATGAATCCCTGTCTTGTGTATCACCTTTGACTGCCATTTGAATTGTTAGACCTTCATGTTGGAAGCAAAGGTTGCACTTCACATGGCAGAGAAAATAAGAATGAGCAGATACCTGGCTCAGGAAGGATCTGATATTTTGTTGTTCTACTAACAGTTCACCTTCACTGACCCTCATTGCATTCAGGATTCACAATCACCCAGGTCACCAGGCCTCTTTTTTGGAGGGTCAGTTTTTGAAAGCATGATGTTTGAAATGGTATTCAGAGGAATTTCAGTATCCCTTCAATTGCTAAAAACATATTTTTTTTCCTTTTTCTTTTATTATTCATATGTGCATACAAGGCTTAGGGTTCATTTCTCCCCCTGCCCCCACCCCCTCCCTTACCACCACTCCGCCCCCTCCCCTCTCTCCCCCCCACCCCTCAATACCCAGCAGAACTATTTTGCCCGTTCTCTAATTTTGTTGTAGAAGGTATAAGCAATAATAGAAGGAACAAGGGGTTTTGCTGGGTTGAGATTAAGGATAGCTATACAGGCATTGACTCACATTGATTTCCTGTGCGTGGGTGTTACTTCTAGGTTAATTCTTTTTGATCTAACCTTTTCTCTAGTTCCTGTTCCCCTTTCCTATTGGCCTCAGTTGCTTTTAAGGTATCTGCTTTAGTTTCTCTGTTTAAGGCAACAATGCCTAGCTAAGTTTTTTAGGTGTCTTACCATATCTTCACCTTACTTTGTGCTCTCGCTTTTATCATGTGTCAAAGTCCAATCCCCTGTTGTGTTTTGCCTTGATCTAATGTCCACATATGAGGGAGAACATACGATTTTTGGTCTTTTGGGCCAGGCTAACCTCACTCAGAATGATGTTCTCCAATTCCATCCATTTACCAGCGAATGATACATTTACGTTCTTCTTCATGGCTGCATAAAATTCCATTGTGTATAGATACCACATTTTCTTAATCCATTCATCAGTGGTGGGGCATCTTGGCTGTTTCCATAACTGGGCTATTGTGAATAGTGCTGCAATAAACATGGGTATGCAGGTGCCTCTGGAGTAACCTGTGTCACACTCTTTTGGGTATATCCCCAAGAGTGGTATTGCTGGATCAAATGGTAGATCAATGTTTAGCTTTTTAAGTAGCCTCCAAATTTTTTTCCAGAGTGGTTGTACTAGTTTACATTCCCACCATCAGTGTAAGAGGGTTCCTTTTTCCCCGAATCCTCGCCAACACCTGTTGTTCATGGTGTTGCTGATGATGGCTATTCTAACAGGGGTGAGGTGGAATTTTAGCGTGGTTTTAATTTGCATTTCCTTTATTGCTAGAGATGGTGAGCATTTTTTCATGTGTTTTCTGGCCATTTTAATTTCTCCTTTTGACAAAGTTCTGTTTAGTTCACGTGCCCATTTCTTTATTGGTTCATTAGTTTTGGGAGAATTTAGTTTTTTAAGTTCCCTATATATTCTGGTTATCAGTCCTTTGTCTGATGTATAGTTGGCAAATATTTTCTACCACTCTGTGGGTGTTCTCTTCAATTTAGAGACCATTTCTTTTGATGAACAGAAGCTTTTTAGTTTTATGAGGTCCCATTTATCTATGCTATCTCTTAGTTGCTGTGCTGCTGGGGTTTCATTGAGAAAGTTCTTACCTATACCTACTAACTCCAGAGTATTTCCTACTCTTTCCTGTATCAACTTTAGAGTTTGTGGTCTGATATTAAGATCCTTGATCCATTTTGAGTTAATCTTGGTATAGGGTGATATACATGGATCTAGTTTCAATTTTTTGCAGACTGCTAACCAGTTTTCCCAGCAGTTTTTGTTGAAGAGGCTGCTTTTCCATCGTATATTTTTAGCTCCTTTGTCAAAGACAAGTTGGTTATAGTTTTGTGGCTTCATATCTGGATCCTCTATTCTGTTCCACTGGTCTTCATGTCTGTTTTTGTGCCAGTACCATGCTGTTTTTATTGCTACTGCTTTGTAATATAGTTTGAAGTCAGGTATTGTGATACCTCCTGCATTGTTCTTTTGACTGAGTATTGCCTTGGCTATTCGTGGCTTCCTGTGTTTCCATATAAATTTCACAGTAGATTTTTCAATCTCTTTAATGAATGTCATTGGAGTTTTGATAGGAATTGCATTAAACATGTAGATTACTTTTGGGAGTATAGACATTTTTACTATGTTGATCTACCAATCCATGAGCATGAGAGAGCTCTCCACTTTCTATAGTCTTCCTCAATCTCTTTCTTCAGAAGTGTATAGTTTTCCTTGTAGAGGTCTTTCACATCTTTTGTTAGGTTTACACCTAGGTATTTGATTTTTTTTGAGGCTATTGTAAATGGAATTGTTTTCATACATTCTTTTTCAGTTTGCTCATTGTTAGTGTATAAAAATGCTGATGATTTTTCTATGTTGATTTTATATCCTGCTACCTTGCTATAGCTATTGATGATGTCTAGAAGCTTCTGAGTAGAGTTTTTTGGGTCTTTAAAGTATAGGATCATGTCATCTGCAAATAGGGATATTTTGACAGTTTCTTTACCTATTTGTATTCCTTTTATTCCTTCTTCTTGCCTAATTGCTCTGGCTAGGAATTGCAGTACTATGTTGAATAGGAGTGGAGATAGTGGGCATCCTTGTCTGGTTTCTGATTTTAGAGGGAATGGTTTCAGTTTTTCTCCATTAAGTATAATGCTGGCTGTAGGTTTGTCATATATAGCTTTTATAATGTTGAGGTACTTTCCTTCTATTCCTTATTTTCTTTAGAGCTTTATCATGAAATGGTGTTGGATCTTATCAAAGGCTTTTTCTGCATCGATTGAGATGATCAAGTGGTTTTTGTCTTTGCTTCTGTTAATGTGGTTTATTACATTTATTGATTTTTGTATGTTGAACCACCCCTGCGTCCCTGGGATGAAGCCTACTTGGTCGTGGTGAATAATCTTTTTTGATGTGTTGTTGAATTCGGTTTGCCATTATTCCCTTCAGTTGCTAAAAAATATTTTAAAAAATGTATTTTGCAAGTGTTGAATATTCTCTCTCTCTCTCTCTCTCTCTCTCTCTCTCTCTCTCTCTCTCTCTCTACATTGGGCCACATTTTCCTTATGAGTCTAATGATTCTAAATCATTCTTTTCCTGAGCCTTGGATCTGAACTTGCGAATATGGCTTTGCTTGCCTCTGAGCTGGCAGTGGAGCTCCTAGACATGCAGAGTCTACCAGCAGTCAGGCTATGTGACCCAAGACAGATCCCACCTTGGTCCAGGTGCTCCCAAAAAGACCCCATGATGCACAGGATGCCCTGTGGGACCCTTTGGGGAGTCTTGAACCCTACTCCCTCCCTGGCAACAGGTTGTGAGGTACTCTGGCAAAACCCCAGCCAGGGCTTCAGTCTCAATGCATCTCCCCATCTTCTGTCTTCCGCAGGGTCCTGTAGCATCCACAGCATCAACATTTTCTGTCCTCGCCTCTGGACCTGGCCTTCTGCCACACCCTCCTCCACCTCCTCCTCCAGGGCCACCTCCACTTTTTGAGAATGAAGACAGACAAGAAGAGTCCTCTCCTTCACGCTCAGCTTTATTCGCCCAGCTTAACCAAGGAGAAGCCATCACAAAAGGTGAGAAAACAAGCCCTTGAAGCTCCCTTTCTTTCCGGTTCCAAGCACACAGATCTCTCAGGGCCCCAGTAACAGATGCATCATCCCATCCCTGTCCCCAGCACACAGGGGAGGAAACTGCAGCTGGGAAGACAGGGTGTTTTTCCGGTCTAGGCAGCCAGGCTCAGTCAGCACTGTGTGGCATCACCCCTTCAGTCCCTGTGCCTCAGCATCATCCTCTAAATCAAGTCAAGGCATGAAGATCAAATGAAATACGTTTTGTTATAACCTCTACCTGCACAGACTTTATGTATTTCGATATTGTTGCTGCTCTGTCATTCTCTTTTCCTTTCCCTCCTCCCCCGAGTTGCATAAAGCAGTTCCACTATTTCAGACATGTCCTACATCTGAGTTTGTATATGATCATGCTTGTTTTTGTGTGTATGTTTATCTTTCGGATCTGTCTTCCATGTATGAGAGAAAACATGTGGCCTTTGTCTTTCGAATGACCAAAATAAAGTATACTCATATCAGTATGCATTAAGAAACCCCTTTGAACACTGTCTTAGAAATTAATAATGAAAGACAGACTGTAAAATAGGTACAGTGTGGGGGAGGGGTACTTGTGGGATGAAAGTAGGGGACAAATAAGATTAAGGTGTGGGAATATGGTTGATGGACTTCACATACCTGTACAAAATAGAACAATGAAACTTCTTGCAATTGCTTGAAGTGGGACAGGGAGGGGGGTTGGGGGGAGATGATGGGCGCAATCTAACCAATGTACAATATAAGCCTATTTGGTATTATCACAATGAATTCCCCCTGTACAACAAATACATCCTAATAAAATTTTTTTTAAAAAATCAAGTGAGATAATGGTTAACAATAGCACCTCTGTCCTGAAACAGAGTACTGGCTTGTTGAGCCATCTTTGTCCTCGTGGAAAATGGGTAACATTTTAAAAATACACCATTTAAAATATATCAGGATCAAAAGCACATGCATTCTAAACAATAAAGTCAGGTTACAAAAAGACCATATGTCAATGAATGCATTTTTGCTTTGCACAGATAATAGGACTTAGGGTATATGTGTCCCTCTAAACAAGGCTGGGAACAAAAAAAGAACAAAATGTTATCACTGGCTCTGCTATCTCCTCTGACTCACTTGCAAAGTAAAGGAATGGGCTCATAGCCCTAAATTCAATTCCATATTCTGATGCATCCTCACTGCCATACCCTAACATTTTATGCTATGTCTAGCAGCTGATTTAGCCATAAAACTACAAAGAAGTAGACCATGAGCTCCTTTTTTGGTAAGGTGACTTTAGGATTTGTGGAAATTTGTTTGTTGTAGAATTTTAATCATCCTGTCTCCTTAAAGACAGGGTTTCTCAAGTTAAAAAATACAGTGCTTCTATCAATCTAAGCTTACAGGATTCAGATGCTGTACCTTGCCCTTAAGTACTAGACTGTAAGGAAAATAGCATTACCAAAAGTTCTTGTGCACCTTACATTTTGGGACATCTCCCTTTGCACAAAATATAAAGAAATGTGTGTTACCTTTGTAGGGCTCCGACATGTCACAGATGACCAGAAGACATACAAGAACCCCAGCCTGCGTGCTCAAGGACAAACTCAATCTCCAACCAAAACACACACTCCAAGCCCCACATCTCCCAAATCTCATTCTCCTCAGAAACATGCTCCTGTGTTTGAGTTGGAAGGAAAAAAGTGGAGAGTGGTAGGTGAAGTCTTTTAACCTTTATTCTTGACATGCTTTGACAGATGTACCAAAGGGCAGAGTCATTTTCCAAGGACTTAAGGATTTCTAGCAAAATGACAAGAGGTAAGAAAAACACTGGCTAGAGTAGGATCCAGGGTATCTCTGAATGTTTCCATAAATTTTGTTCACTAGTTTGCATGCATTCTTTTCTTCAGTTTTTTAAGACTAATTTTTAAATTGTGAAATAGACACATGACATTTATCATTAAGCATTTTAACTATACATTACAGTGGCATTTTTTATGTACATCCATATTGTCATGCAACCATCACCTCCATCTACCCACCGAACATTTTTCATTATGCAGAACTAAAATTTTGTACCCACTAAACAATTACTCTCTAATCCTCTTCCCCTCTAACCCCTGGAAACCACCATTATGCTTTCTGTTGTTGTTGGCTTTCTGTTTGAATTTGACTTTAAACTTTTAACCACGCTGTAAGAGAAGCCATTAACATGTGCACCTGGGTGTCTGTGCCCCATTCTAATCTGCTGTAGGATGTTTTGTTTGGTTCCAGTGATGGAGGCCTTGATGTAACCACATGCTATCACTACCACCCACCACCTTCAGGGCTAATGGTATGCGCAGGACAGAGACATTTTGAATGTAGATGAAAGCTGGGGTCCCCAGCAATCCAGAGAGCTTCCTTGAAAATTAAGGACATGGAAAGGTTATCGTGGCCTGAAAAAAACCCGAGCCTGGACCTGTTGTGGCCCTTCATCAGCCCATCTTCTACTTGATGCAGCAGAGGTTGCTTCAGCACCAAGTGCAGACTTAGCCTCAGGGTCCCAACAGCTCTCTCACCCCTGCCACAGCCCCATCCACTAGCCAGGGTCCCAGCACCTGAGCGTCTGCAAATTGACACAGACCTTCTTCCAGGCAGCATCCCACCCATTCCCATCATTGCAACAATGAGGCAAGACCTGTGGTTTTGTCCATAAAGTGATGGTTCTTAAAAAAAAAAAAAAGCATATTGAATCACTATAATCCTCCATAGTGATTTTAGTATGCATTGGATTCAGTTTATCTCTGTATCCTCATGTTCAATATTTGTGTCTGTTTTAATTTTAGGAGTACCAAGAGGACAGAAATGACCTTGTCATTTCAGAGACTGAACTGAAACAAGTGGCTTACATTTTCAAATGTGACAAATCTACTCTCCAGATTAAAGGGAAAATAAATTCCATTACAATTGGTAGGACAAAACTATGGCTCTATAGTTACTATGAGCTGTTTTGTAGAAATATGCTGAATGTATTTAGTGGAGTTTTATTTTTCCCCCTAGATAATTGTAAGAAGTTTGGCCTTGTGTTTGACAATGTGGTGGGCATTGTGGAAGTGATCAACTCCAAGGATATTCAAATCCAGGTAAGCAGCCCTGCCAACCTTGCTCTGGCCCTAGCTTTGTGTAGACTCCCCACTGTGCCTGCAACAGGGAGCCCTTGCTCCTCCAGGTCTGCCCAGAAAAAAGATATTTTTTGGTGGGACTGGAATTTGAACTCAAGACTTCACACTTGCAAAGCAGGCACTCTTACCACTTGAGCCACACCTCCAGTCCATTTTGCTCTGGTTATTTTGGAGATGGGGTCTCTTGAACTATTTCTCCCAGCTGGCTTCGAACCACAATCCTCCCAATCTCAGTCTCCCAAGTATGCAGGATTACAGGCGTGAGTTTTCTGGTCCCAGAAAACTTTTGCTCCCATTCTTTCCAGCATAGCTCTGTCGTCACCTCATCTGTGAAGCCCTGTATTTCTTTTTAGAAAGTATTACTTACTTCTTTTTGGTCTCTTACAACACATCCCATCTTGTGCTAAAATTAATGATTTACAATCTCTATTTTAAGGACAGCTAATTGGGGGTAGGGATGAGGCTTAGTGGTAGAATGCTTGCTAGCATGTGTGAGGTCCTGGGTTCAATCCCCAACACTGAAGGAAAAAAGAATCAAGAACAGGTAACTAATCTTTAGTGCTCCAGGGACTTGCACAGTATCTGCACACAGTAGATGTCCAATAAATGTTTAAAAAGTACATGATTGGAGTTAATCAGCTACTGAATGAATAAAAAAGCTAAGAGATTGCCTAGTGTGATACCTACTGTCCCAAAGAGAGTTTCTCCCCACTGGAAAAACTGGTCCTGAGTAAGGAGGAAGGAAAAAAGTATCTACAGAACTAGTGAGAGAATCGGAAAAACAACCCCGGATTGGAATTGGATTTGCAAAAATGGAAGAAAATCTCTACTCATTTAGTAGTTTTGAGTTAGCCAAATGGAATTCTACAATACACCCAGAGCCAAAGGACGTTTTACCCTTGCCTGACTCAAACTTCTGTCTTTGGCCACACTCTTTTCATGTTGCTAATTATCCTTTACTACTTAATGTTCCCTACTAATGTTTGTTAAAATGAAGTTCTTACTGTATAAATCTTTCTCTTTTGTATTACTGGACTTTTCACCACTGACACTTTTAATTAGAATCCATTTGTTTGTACATTTCACATCGCTATGCTTACATTGTCATTTAAGAAGTTGGTTGTACATGTGTCTCTGGAGTGGAAACAGCTCTGGTTGGGCATGAAGGGACCCAGCAATAAAAAAGCCAGAAAAGCTACTCTATATTCTATAATCAAAGTAAGGGCAGGATTTTTCAAAATCCTACAGCAAAAATCATACTTCATTTGAACCTTTAGAAGAATTGCCACTGAAGTCAGAAACAGGAAGAAACTTTCTCTTCAGTCATTGCTGCTTCTTCGTCTTCCTCTTATTGTTATTCTTTTTTAATGGTGCTGAAACTCAGTACCACTAAGTACATGAAACTCAGGGTTTCATGGCTTGCTAGGCAGGTGCTCTACCACTTGAACCACACCCCTAGCTCATTTTGTTTAGTTATTTTTCAAATAGGGTCTTGTGTTCTTGCCCAGGGCTAGCCTCAGACTTCTATTCTCTTACTTATGCCTCCTGCATAACTAGGATTACAGGTGTGTACTACCACATTCAACTTGTTTTGTCAAGATGGGGTCCTGCTAAACTTTTGCACAAGTTGGCCTCAAATCACAGTTTTCCCTATTTCTACCTCCTGAGTAGCTAGGATTATAGGTGTGCATGTGCCCCCCCCCACCCAGCCAGTCATTCCTTCTGTTCACTAATGCAATAAAGGTTTTAACCTATGTAATAAGATAAGAAAAATAATTGAGAGATATAAAATTGGAAAAGGAAGAAACAAAAATGTCCTTATTTGCCAAAAATATGATTTTTATATAAAATCAAAGAGATTTAGCAAACTATAAACTAAAAAAATTAAGCAAAATGGTTAGATACAATATCAACCTTCAAAAGTCAACTGCATTTCTTTATTCCAGAAGTAAGTATTAGAATATGCAATACAAAATATGATTTAAAACAGCAACAAACTTAGGATACATAGGAAGAAATTAACAACAAAAATGGAAAGGTATTCATGAAAACACAAAAGAGATGTACGTGACCAAACAAAAAAAATCCACAATATCACTCATCTCTATATATTTATAAAATTCAGTGAAATTCAGCTCAAAAATCTCAAGAGAATTTTTTTTATCATTTTTACATTACTCACATATGTATACATTGTTTGGGTGACCTCCCCAAGAGAATTTTTGATGAAAAATATCTTAAAATTAATTTGGAAGAGGTGCTGAGGATGTGGTTCAGTGGTAGAGCCCATGGGAAAAATATATTCAGAATTCCTACCTCATGCCAAACATAAAAATAAAGTTCTAATTATGAAGAGCAATAGTTTTACTGGGGGTAGTGGTATGATCCTAGCTATTCAGGAGGAGGAGGTAGGGGATTTGCAATAGCAAGACCCCATAACAAAAGCAAAATACAAACAAAAGGTCTTCAAGTATAGCTCAAGTGGTGGAGCACTAACCTAGCAATCCCCAATACCACACACACACACACACACATACACACACACACACACACATACACATACATACACACATAAACACACACATACACACATATGTACACACATGCACACTCACAAGAATTACTTTTAAAGTTGAAGAATAACGTACGGAAGAAAATCTTTATAGCCTCAGAGTAAGAAATTAACTACGGTCAAAAAATACAAACCATAAAAGGAAGAAGTGATTAAAATAATCCCATATGTGATCACATGATCATATGCAAAGCTGAAAGACAAGCCAGGGTTTGAAGAAAGATACTTGCAATGCAGATAATCAAAGGGAATTTGTATCCAGGATATATAAAAAAGCTAACACTAATCAGTTTAATAGAAACATGGTTAAAGAATATTAAGACAATTCAGAGAAGAAAAAAACGATTGGTAGGGGTGAAAGCATGCGCCTGCCATATCATAGAAGTAGAAAGTAAATACTGTAATTAGAAACACTCATCAGTTTTGCACTCAGATTGTCACTACCTTGCAAGGTGCCCTTGTTAACTGAATGTCATCCATATAACACTGCAAGTGGAGGACTGCCATGATGGTACAGGGTTGTTAAGGAAGTAGAACAGTGAGAACCCCGATATAGTGTCAGAAAAGTCAATCTTTTACACTCACTGAAGAGAAAATTGGCACCATCTAATAAACTCACATTCATAGCCTGTGGCTGAGTAATTCTCTTAGGAATATACTCCAGAGGAACTCCAGTACATGTGCCAAGGAGACATGCAAATTTTATTGTAATGTCATTGATAATGGCAATAAAAACAAAAACAATTAAATGTCCACCAACTGGTGAATGAATAAACACATGCTCCCAATAGAATACTGTGCAGTGGTTAAAATAAGTGAACTACAGTTACATGAATAAAAATAAAACCCAGTGAGCAATTAAGGCAAGTTATAGAGTGGCAAGCATTGTATAAGGTATCCATTTGTAGAGGTTGAAATCATGCAGAACAACACACACGTAATAAATATGAGAGCTCAAGGCAGCCATCCTAGTCCCCTTACCCAGTGCATAGACCTGGTGAATCATAAACATAAAAGTCCATACAGTAGTTACAGGAGGGGAGAAAGGACTGGGGGGATGGAGGGGCGTGGTTGAAGGGGTAGAGAGCTTGCCTAGCAAGCTCAAGGCCCTGAGTTCAACTCCCAGTACCACCAAAACAAAAACAGAAAGGGAGGGAAGGAAGGAGGAGGGTCAGTGAGGTGCTGAATGGTATAGAAGAGGCATCAACCGTATTGTATAATTTTAATCCTAAAAGAAAAAAAACAGGAAATAAGCCAAAATGTAACACTCTGACAAAACTGTTGGTAGACCTATTGGCATTTATATTATTCTTTACATGTTACCATGCCTGAAATGTACTGTAATATTTTTTAAGGTTACACATGCATTATTAAAAAAGAAAACTGTGAAAGAATAAACCATTATTCCCTGTACAGGAAAGGCATAAACTCAACTGTGCTGTTCGGAAACAGGAGAAAGACATTTGACCGCTTTTTGAACTTTCGGTTGTTCAAATCAACGGAATGTCATTACCTATTTAAAGCACTTAACAAATTGTTTTTAAAGGGCCTAGCTAGACACAATAGAAACAGAAAGCAGATTAGTGGTTGCCTGGGGGTTGGATAGAGACTGACTATAAGTGGCCATTAGGGATATTTTTGGGGTAATGGAAATGTTCTGAAACTGGATGGTAGTGATGATTGCACAACTCTAAATTCGCCAAATATCACTGGGTCATACACTTAATTGGGTGAATTTTATGTTTGCAGATTTTACCTCAATAACATTATTAAAAGACTGAAAGGGTGGGAAAGGCATAGTCAAAAAGTTCTTATGATTTGGCCCAGTAATCCTATTTTTGCCAAAATGTCCTAAAAAATGCACAAATTATGGAAAAAAGAAGAGACTACAGTAATCAATGGAATTTTTTTAAGCTATTGTGGGGAAATAAACTCATAACAAACAATCTTAGTCAGGGAGTGTAGCTCAGAAGCACTTGTGTGCTTAACATGTATGAACCTGGGTTTAATCCCCAGCAGCAAAAAATTAAAAAGCCTCACTACTTTAATACAGAAACATGTATTCTGTGCAAGAGCACTGGACTAGACAAGCTCACAGGTCACCTGTCACTCACTGTCTTGATAAGAAATAATGTATGTTTTCAAAGTGTTCACAATCTGCCAGGAAGAAAGACATGTATGTAAGGTACTCATATGTAGTATTGAACAGAATGCTGTGGAAATTATAGTTCTTAACATACCTGGGCTATTTTTAAATTTTTGCTATTGTCTTTTCAAATACATAGAGTGTTTTGGCATCTTTAACCTAATTTAGAAATATACAAATATAAATTAAAATATATTGGCATAATGTACATGTTTCATGTGTCCCCAACTCATAAACAAATCTGAGACTCACTGAAAATCCATTCCTTTCCTTTCTTTACCTGGTATTCATTCAGTATACAGTTCTGGTCAGTATGTAAATGTTCTTTATCCTTATAAAATATGAAGATCTAGAAATTATCAAAACTTGACTGCATGACACATTTTTGAAATATGCATATATGTGTTATTCTTTTATTTGTGGCAGAGCTCTGTGCTTACCTGACCTTGAACTACCTCTGCCTTTTTCTTACACTGGGTTCAATTCCAACTCAGTGTCTAGTTTCTATGAAGAGAGAGGAGGAAAGAGAGAAGCATAGTGACCTGGCTAGACATCCTTTCCCCAGCCCCCACAAGGACTTCTTTACATCACCTGCACCATCAAAAAGACTTGCTCCTTTGGTTTGGAACCCAGCCTTTTCTTCAGAGTGAAAAAGGAGATGTCTTTGTCACTTTAATTACCATTACAAGAAGCATAGAGTTGTAATGTGGTCTTTGGGGGAACAGTGTACCCCTGTGGAGACTTACAAGTGGATGTCTGAAAAATGATTGTTAGAAGAGAAATTTAAAACTGATCGGAATTTTTACAGCATTTAGATATTTGTAAACAATACAAAGAATTGGCTCCTCCTGTGTATGGCCCTGTTTATCTATATAATGAGTGTCCTGAACTAAGCCCCCAGTTTTGGTTCCTGAAATGAATACACTTCAAAATACCTAGAAACTCATCTCATTTGAACTTTCATTCAGCCTTGAGATTTTTATCCAGCAAAAGACTTGTGTGAAAAGAATTGTAGTGTTTCTTATTCTTCAGTTCATGAACAATCTGCTCAATTTCAAATCAAGAATAATCTTATTGTTAAATGTTAGTATCGATATTTGTAGTCCCAGTTTTAGAGGTATTTGTCAAAACTAAAATTTTAAGCAAATAAAAGTAAATGCATCTTGTTTCTTTTATCATGAAATCAAATATGTTTCAAACTCAGTAATAGGGTTGTGAGGCTTTTCTGAACATTAGCTATTGTTTCCAAATTGATTTCTTAATTTCACCTCAAGAAAGAGACCCTGGGGTTTAAGAATCCCCTTGTGTGGTCTTTTGACTCTGTCCTCAAATGACACCTACCCCATTCCACCTGGAGACTTAACCATTAACTATTCTCCTCACCTCTGACCTGATTCCTAATGCTTGTTTAAGCCCAAACTAATGCCAAGAGGAATCTAGATTGTATTTGGTTGGAAACATTGTCATTTCTGTTTCTTTGCTTTGGTCCCAGATTTTTTTTCTTATTTCAGGTAATGGGGAGAGTGCCAACAATTTCCATTAATAAGACAGAAGGTTGCCACATATACCTCAGTGAAGATGCGTTGGACTGTGAGCTTGTGAGTGCCAAGTCATCTGAAATGAATGTTCTTATCCCTCAGGATGGTGATTATGTAAGTATCTTTCAAAAGGCTATCAAGAATTATTTTTGAGCCTTCATTATTAACATTCTAAGTGATTGATTAATCAGGTACCAACCTGTGGGTTTTATTTGTAGAATAATTCACAGGCAGGAGAGGGATACAGGGAGCTGCCTTCCCCATTTCTCTCCTATTAGCTTCTTGACTATGCTCACTTCTTAATTTGTGACTCTAAAAGTAGTTGACTAATAATTTCTTTATTTGGCCAGCTTTTATCAAACAGCACAGTATGTACCTGAGTTCGTATTTTGTAATACTAAGTATTTTTCCTTTGCGCTGGTGGAGGTAAAGAAGAAAGAAAATGGGAAGGAGTAAGGAGATAATAAGAAAATCTATTTGTATTGTGTTCTCAAGCCAAGACTCTCTATTTAACAATCAGCTAGGAAGCTTGATGGACAAGCCAGCTCTAAGGCCTATACCTACATGTTCAATTCAGGAGGCTTGCAGTAGAGCCTGAAAATCTGGATGCTTAACAGGCTTCCCAGGTGATTCTAATGTCATCAGTCCATCTAACACCCTTCTGAGAAACACTAGCCTGATTTTGCCAGCATTTTTTTCCTTCCCCAACAAATCAGCAACTAAAAAAATTCTTGCATATTGAAAAAGGAGTATAATTAAATCAGCCACATTTTCTTGAGTCATGAAGTATGACAGATGTGCTACATGGAAGTTGTTTCATGGATTTAAGCAAATAAACAGAGAATTCTTTCATAGTCTAACTGTGGAGGGGATTGATGAGTCAAGAAAGGACAGAAGAAAATGTAACTTAGCAGGCACACCTTTGAGAGAGAGGCCACATCAACCTAAAGGGTCAGTCACCAGCTATCTACCAGCAGTCAACAGGCAGGTTGATCTCCTAAGGCAGACAACAGGACTGCTCACATGCACTCCTTTCCCCATCTGTCAGTAAGTTCTTCAACTCTACCTGGCTACATACTACGTGTTACAACCTAGAATTCATCATTTCAGCTTAAAACACAAAAGTCTGCAAGCACTGGGCCTTGCATCACCACTTGGTGCATGGACAGCCCAACTATGGGCTAGAGAAGAGTTCCCCCACCTCCCCCTTGGACTCCCAAAACTAACACAAGAGGTTTAGAGTAGGGGAGCCATAAATTAGGTGGTCCCTGGCCTTTGTAGCTGTTTAAGCAGAAGGCTCAGCTGTATGGGAACTGGATTTGCTAAGAAAAGCAGTGAGGTTTGGATGAGCACTGCATACTAATTAAGCTAAACTCTGGACATGTGACCCAGACATCTGTAGTTTTTTAAAGCTTTCCAGGTGATTCCAGTGTAGAGCCAAGACTGCACTCCAATGGCCTAAAGATTAGCCAGCACCTGAGCTTTTGTGCTGAAAAAAAAATTTTCCCTGCGTGAGTAAATTACCTTGCGCTCTGAGCCCTTGGCCCCTTTTCATGCACTTTCCGGTTGGAGGTGGTAGGAACGATACACAGAACCTGGCATGTACGTTATGATGTGAGAATGGATGGTGGGCATAATTCATCCAACATGAATTGTCTCCCAGGGATCCATTGCTCTCTCCTCATTGCCAGACAGAGTTTGGAGCAGCTGTCGTGCATTAAAATCAAAGAGGTACCTTCACTCTGCAGCATTCTCTACTTAAGAACACCAAGCTTCATTTACGCATCAAGAGCCCCAGGAGTGATATTGTACACACACACACACACACACACACACAGAGTTATTAAGACTGTGACTTCTTTAAGATTTTCCCACTTCAGATTTCCTAAGAGTAGAATTCATTACTTACTACATCAAAATAAACGGGTGAATTGCTTCTTCCACATGTGTTCAGGAAGTCTAGTGAGGCCCCAGAGCTGGAGCTCAAGGGCTGCTCCTGAGGTCCTCTTATGAAATATCTGGAGAATTGCTCTAGAGAAAGCGGAGAGTCCAGACTAGTTGTATTTTGGCTATTCTAGTTTCTTCATATGTTTGCCTGTGGCAGTGGTGGTGCAGATGTGTGTGAGGGAGGGTATGTATGTTTTTTCCAGTAGGACAAGTAGGGTAACAGGGTGAAGGGTAACAAATTCATATACAACCCTGAGCACATTTTGCAATTCCTTAAAGAGTAGGCAGATAAGTGAGATAAAACCTTTCTACTCTGAGGGGCTGGGGACCAGCAGCCTTAATGTCACCTAAGACCTTGTTGGAAATACAGATTCTCATTCCCTTCCCCAGGCCTGCTGAATCAGAATCTGCATGTTAGTAAGATGCCAGTGACTCATGTGCATGTTTAACTTGATGGAAAGCAGTGGAGAAGACTACCTTGGTTTGGACTGTGGCTGTTCTGCTTGCCAATGATGTCATGAGGGGCCAGTTGCTTGAACTTGCAGGCCTCTGCTTCCTGTAATATGGCATCTCAGTAATACTTAGCTCGTGGGGTTGTTGGAGATCAGCTGAGTTTGTATGTGCCTGGTGCTTAGAAGAATGCCTCATTCTTCATAAATGCTAGCTCTAATAATGATCCTGGCATGCATTCACCAAATAGACACATGACACATACAAGTCTCCGTGTCACAAAGACCTCTCCATGATGCAGATCAAATTTCTGACTTTTCTTTGCCCATTGTGTGGTACTAATCATCCTTTGTCTCTTTGCAAAATGAAGCCATCATGTACATAATTCTGCTCTTCTTGCCTTTTTCCAGAGAGAATTTCCTGTTCCTGAACAGTTCAAGACAGTATGGGATGGATCCAAGTTAGTCACTGAACCTGCAGAAATTATGGCCTAATCTCCAGAGACATCAAACCCCCTCACCTGAGTCTCTATCAAACGAACAAAAACAAGCAGCATTAGGGAGCTAGAAGTCGCAGTAGCACCTACTGCTTTAGTTTAAGCCTCCAGCAATTCTGTGCTGTGGAAACATCGTTGTTTGTGACATGCCTTCTTGGGCATTTTGAAATATTTAACATCTCCTCATGATTTGCCTTTGTGTGTGATTTTAGTTCCACATGATAACTTGTGAGCACTACAGATTAAAGGAAAAAGAAAAAGAATTCTGTTCCCCTTGTATCATTGACACCGTAACTGATAGGTAAAAATATTGCATGATTCACTTCTGCACTCGTGTTTGTTAGTGAGAAACACAACCTTTGAGAATCTATGTACGTTTTTACCTTTTAGACAATTTTAATATAATGTAGTAGTAGTGTGCCCTAGAAAATATTTGATTTTTTTATAGTACATGTCCACTTTTATTGGCATGGATACACTATCTGCATGAATACTTACTTCAATCCACATCTTAAAAAATAGGAAAGTTCCCTTTGAAGACAAAAAAATTCAGTTTCTTGGTCCTTAGAAGACCTGTATCATTTATAATTACTAAAAACAAAAAAATTAAATTCTAATTATTCATCTTAAATATTTTGCTACCAGGTCACTTGAAGACTCTTACTTTTGTGCATATTCTTAATGCCAAAAGATTGGTGAGAGGAGCGTTTTATTTTTACTGCATAATACCTCACAATTTTGCCCTAAGAACAGCTCAGTCTTTGTTTTCCAGTTTTGAACCTGTTAAATACCATATGCCTTGTAAAGGATGTCTTTAATGTTTTACTAGCAACTACTTTCCACTTGCCAGAGTTGCTAATCCCTCTCAAAAATGATCATGAAAAAAGCTATAGCCGTATTACTTCTTTTGAAACCTAAAGAATTGTTTGTTGGTTTGGCTTGCTGCTCCTATTTTGTAGTCTTGATAGTACATGCTTTCTAAAAATGAGTAACTATGATATTCCTCTGTATCCTTTCAGTACATCTGCTGAAAAATTTGCAACTTCTTGGATCACATATAATGAAGTGTAGTATAATGCTTACAGAACCAATACAAGCATATATATTGTGCCTATGATAGCCTTTGGAATACATCATTTCCATTTGTTAAATATCTTATATATCCATATAGTATCCAAATTACTAATACTCCTGTACCAAGGTTTTGCTATAAAAGTTTTCTCTGTGTGAATAATGTTGTGGGTTTAGTAAATATCATTTTGGAACTGTAAACATATTCTGAAATAAAATTCTAATTGTTTAAATACTGTGATGAATTCTGGGTGTAAAAATTATTTTTTCCATTTTTATTTTCCCCTTGCTCATATATCAAATTTATGAAAGACAGCTGAGTCTTTCTGGTTGAAATTAGACAATTTATTCAGTATGCCATCAGCTTCCCTGAAGAATGGCTTCTTCAAGATTGATAACAAATAAATCCATTTGAAGTTAGAATCACTATTACAAAATTCTAGAATCCAGTTTTGTACAATAAGGCTTCTTTGGTGAGAAAACGCCTTCAGAAATTTATTAGTGTAAAGATCCCAGAAAATAGATGACTTTGTAGATATAATACTATATACAAATACTACAAATTATAATATAAACATAAATAACAATAAATCTGTAAATATACTTCTGTAGAAAAATAAATGAGAAGAAGTGACTCTTAAAAGGATATATTACATACCCATTATATAATAATTTATAATGAAAAACAGGTCTACTCAAAATTCTTACTATTTATCAATTAACCTTGGACTTGACATCAGCCTTCCAAAATGCTTCACCACAGATATGGACAATCTGGACTTAAGGTTCAAACAATTATTTTGGCCCTGTCTGTATGCCTTAAAGTCACTTTCTACTTTTCAGTCTCAAAAATGAATCACCCATTTAGATGACATAAGAGTAGACTGGATTTATGAAAAACCTGTGGCAATGTGTAAACAACTATCAGAGACAAATGCTGCACGTCCAGTATGCTGAGGGTCTTACACCTTGTTGACTTCCAATGTTACCAATGTTGTGACCTAACAAATACTTAGATTACTTAATCAGAGGATTAAGTAATCCATACTTAGAAGAATTTCATGTTGCATACATTTAAAAAAAAGTCAAAGTGTCAATCGGTGTCAGAAAATTAAGTGTCAAGGGTCTCCCATATCTCCTTACTTTGTAATATTACAGGATGAAAATGAAAATCCTAAAGACTGAAGTCTTTGTTACCTTGAAAGTCCTTTCCTTAAAAATAATATATCTCTGGTAGTCTTCTCATATCAAACATCTTGAAACGACTCCATTCTAATCACTTCTTATCTGTGGGACACAGAAAACACACATAGTGCAGTGTGACTCATGTATTCTTTTTATTGAAAATGTCTACTGCAAACTCCTAGACTCCTCTCATTTTAAAGATGAAAAAGCTGAGATCTAGTGACACTAACACATAAGAAGAAACAACAAACACACACACCACACACACATCTTTTTTATAATTACTGCAATTTGGCTTCTAGTTTTATCATATTTCCAAAACTCGCAAAGGTTGTCAAACCCAGTGGCTTCATCTGTTTCTCACCCATTGAAATTCTTGACACTGTCCTTTTCTTATTAAATTCCCTTTGAGTTTGTGATAAATAACATGTCTTTGACTCCCTTCCCTCTATCTTTTTGTTTTCTTCTCAGATGCTCACATATTCTCCTCTATGTAAATGACTCCTAAATCCTTCTCCCCAAACCAAATCCATCTCCCCAAATTCCTTGTTTCTAGCAGAGTATATCTACCTACCTGTCCCAACATCATTTAAAATGGCTAAAATTAATTTCCCCTACATATTGTTATATTCCTCTCTGCCTCTCCAGTGTCAGTCCAGGCCCCTTACACTCTTTATCGTAGATTTAAAATTACCATTTCCTGTGTTAGGAAACATTGAGAGAAAACAGAACTGGGGTAAACCATGCTTCAGTCTTGAATGTGTGTTACTTGGGTATCTTAGTGACATTTAACTGGAAATGGAGAGTAGGTGGTTGGATATGCTGGTCTAAGCCCTTGTCTCTGATACCACATCCTCAGGAATAACTTCATGAGTTTAGTATTCAAAGAATGAATTTCATTAAACATGTTCATTTCAAAAGAATTTATTTTAAACCATTGGCACTTGCTGTGCCACTTTGGATACAGATGCAATTTTGAGGTTTTTAATTGCTTCCACAGAGACAAGCTGATTTTATAATGTCACAGATTTCTTGTGCTCATTTCTCGTGCACATTTCAATGTTTCTGTACATGATAAAGCTTCTATCTGTACTACAAATGGAAAGTAAACCAGCTCAATGTACTCTGCGATAATTCAGCCAGATTTCTCCAAATGGCTTTTGTTAATTTGTTGTTTGCTAACAGCACAGAATATGCACCTAACAAAGGGGAATGGTTACCTGACAGAATTGTGTTCAGATTTCCCTCCCAATGCAAAGTGTCATTTTATTTTTCCTTTTCTTCCTTTTTTTTTTTTTTAATCTCACCATGGGGTTTGAATTTAGGGCCTGCTAGGGCAAGCACTCTTACCACTTGAGCCATTCGACCAGCCTCAAAGCATTATTTTCTACTTAAAAATAGTTTTTGCCTAAGACTACAACAGCTTTCAATACCTTGCTTTTTGGAACCATCAGTAGTCAAAAATTGATGCAACATAATGACATGAAGATCCAGATGAAAAAAAATGCATCATTTACTAAACCACAATACTAATTTTAAATCTACTTGCCAATATCGCAAAGATTTTGTTCTTAAAAAAAATGAGTAATTTCTGAATACCAGTGATTCATCCTGGCAACTAATCAGAAACTACATTTTTAAATTTTTTGTTATTTTTAACTGTAACTCTATGAACACATTTCTTCCTCTCAAAAGTCAGTAAACAGCCAGCAGCAGGCAGCTCAAGCTTATAGTCCTACCTATTTTGGAGGCAGAGATCAGAGAGATCAGGTTTGAGACCAGCCTGGGCAAAATGTTTACAAGATCCTATCTCAACCAGTGGCTGGGCATGGTGGCATGCACCTGTCATCCAGCTATGCAGGGAAGCATAAACAGGAGGATCGAGGTCCAGGCTTGCCTGGGCATAAAGCAAGACCCTATCTCAAAAATATTCAATGCACGGCTGGCAAAGTAGTTCAAGTGTAGAATGCCTGCCTAGCACATGTCAAGCCCTGCGTTCAAACTTCAGGACCACAATAATAATAACCAATGCAAAGAAAGATCTATTGAAGTGCCTCAAGTGGTAGAGCATCTGCCTAGCAAGGGAGAGGACTTGGGTTCAACCCCTGTACTGCCTAAAAAAAAAAAAAAGTCACTAAACCTACAACAGGAAGTAAGTCTTCCTATGAGCATAACAGTTCTATAGATTTGTTTGAAAAAAACTGTGGTTGTTCTTACCTGTTCATGTCCACATGTAATGAACAGTGTACATCCCCTAGCGGGACTGATGCTAATGACCCGTCAACCAGCAGCCTACCATGCATGAGCTGATACTATGGCAACCCATGCTTCAGGCATTTCTCTTCAATTTAAAAACTGTAAGACAATATGAGAGTTAGGTGGATGCAGACTGTCAGTTCCAGGAGAGCAATTGCCTTTCTGTAATCAAGCTTCATCAAGTCTATGATCCTTGATGGATATTAACAGAAACTGTCCTGCAATATTACTAAAAGATATGTAGAGGTCTAGAGAGAGATTGTACAAGGGCCATGTAAAAAGCATCTTCAGAAAAGGGTATAAATTTATTGCAACATGATTTTTAAAGGAGTTGTAAGTTTTATGTATTCCTTATGTTCTGAGATAGAAAAGTTGGCTGAAATGCGGAGTTTCTTCTACTATTATGAATTTTACTTCTTGAGCTCTGACAATGGTGAAAAATTGAAGAATAAATTTTGGTGGTTGGTTTTTTTTTTTGGCTAATAAATCAGAAGGATTTTAACTATATCTGTCTACTGAAAATAGTACTTGAAAACCTGAGCTGGTCAAATTACTCGTCCAAATTCACTAAAAAAAAATAAAAAACAAAAATATGGTCAACTTTTTTTCCTGCTTCAGACATTTCTTCCAGTTTAAAAGCTGTGAGACAATATCAGAGTTACAGGGAATGCAGGTGTAGCCGACACATATACCTAAAGAATAAAGAAGGAACATTTTAATGGAATTCCATTCAGTGAATGTGGAATTCAGGAAATGATGCCCCATTGTTAACAACTCAAATCTGGTTCATAGAGTTTTCAAAATGTTCTCTCATTTTTTAGTATCTAAAATAATTACACCAACAATATGGCCTACATTCTGTGGACTGCTTCTACCAACTGGCTAGACAACCATTTTCTCTAATTAACTTAACCTCATACTCTGCAATTTACAGAAATAAGTAAAGCCTTAAAAAGGCTTCAGTGTCTCACCAGATAGATATATTCCAACAGTTTGTCATCAATGAAAAAAATAAGCTCATACTTCGTTAACCCTTCAAAAAAGTAAAGTAGTTCTTGCATTCATTGGAAAGAGCTTGGCG